AACGGCCTTCTCCTTCTCACTTCCCCCCCCCCCGCGCTCGCCGCCGGCCCTGGTCGAGGAAGCGCAGCCATGGATAACTAAAGGCGCGAGGGTTAGCGACGGGTCCCGTTTTCACGCAGAGTCGTCGCGCAGCACCGCCAACCAGGGAAGAATCTGGGGGCGAAGAGCGGTATGACACACACACACACACACACACACGCACAACTTTTTGTGTTTATCTTTCTATTTCTTTTATACATATATATATAGGAGGTTGGGGGGTGAGTCCGACGTGAAACGGAGACCCCCCCTACCGGGAAATCGATTTCGGTTTCGGGTTCGTGTCGTGCTTGCCGTGCGTGCGTGCGGGCGAGGCGAAGCTGCGTCGGCGGGCGAGAGGAAATCCTCCTGTGGCTGGGCCGCGGCCGGACCATATGTTTCTCATCCGGCGGCCAGTGGCCCGCGGTGTCCCGCCGGTGTCCCGCTGGGGTCCCGAAATCCTCCTGTGGCTGGGCCGCGGCCGGACCGAATGATTCTCCTCCGGCGGCCGATGGCCCGCGGTGTCCCGCCGGTGTCCCGCTGGTGTCCCGAAATTCTCCTGTGGCTGGGCCGCGGCCGGACCAAATGATTCTCCTCCGGCGGCCGGTGGCCCGCGGTGTCCCGCCGGTGTCCCGCTGGTGTCCCGATATCCTCCTGTGGCTGGGCCGCGGCTGGACCGAAAGTCTCTCCACCCGGCAAATGGTGTCCCGCGGTGTCCCGCTAGTGTCCCGCTGGTGTCCCGCCGTGGCTGCGGCGAGCTATCCAATGCAAATCTACATGCACGCCGACATGCAAACCGAAAAGCACATCGAAATGCAAATCGACATGCACATCCAAATGCAAATCGTAAGGCGCCATGGGTTGCGTATTTACAAAAATCGGCGCCTGCGGCGACCTTTTCAATGCAAGTCGACATGCACATCGAGATGCAGATCGAAAAGCACATCGACATGCACATCGATATGTCGACATGCAAATCGAGATGCAGATCGAAAAGCACATCGACATGCACATCGATATGCAAATCCGAATGCAAATCGAAAGGCACATCGTCATGCCGTGCTGTATGCTGTGCCGCCGTTGTCGCAGTGGAACGGGGACCCCCAACCGGGAAATCGTTTCGTTTCGTTCGTGTCGTGCGTGCAGGCGAGGCGAAGATGCGTGGGCGCGCGAGAGGAATGAACCCGACGATGCTTGTGCGAAGTCAAGACAAGTCATTCTCCCCCGTCCGTCCGTCCGTCCGGCGGTGGCTCGCGGTGTCCTGTGGTGTCCGCCGTTGCAAGGGCGAAGTCAAGACAAATGATTCTCCCCCGTCCATCCGTCCGTCCAGGGGTGGCCCGCGGTGTCCCGCGGTGTCCCGTAGTGTCCCGTGGTGTCCCGTGGTGTCCGCCGTTGTTCGGGCGAAGTCAAGACAAATGATTCTCCCCCGTCCGTCCGTCCGTCCGGCGGTGGCTCGCGGTGTCCCGCGGTGTCCCGTGGTGTCCCGTGGTGTTTTGTTGAACGAGATGGATCGTAAGATCGATATTGGGATCGATATTGATATCGATGTGGTGCCCCGAGGTGTCCCGTGGCGTCCCAAAAAGTGAGATCGATAGTGAGATCGATCGTGAGATCGACAAGTGTCCCGCGGTGTCCTGTGGTGTCCCGTGGTGTCCCGTTGAGTGAGATCGATAGTGAGATCGATAGTGAGATCGATGCTGAGATCGATGTGGTGCCCCGAGGAGTCCCGTGGTGTCCAAAAAAAAGATCAATCGATAGATCGATAGTGAGATCGACAGTGTCCCGTGGTGTCCCATGGTGTCACGTAGTGTCCCGTTGAGTGACATCGATAGTGAGATTGATCGTAGGATCGATAGTGAGATCGAAGTGGTGTCCCGAGGTGTCCCGTGATGTCCCGTGGTGTCCTATGGTGTCCCGTTGAGTGAGATCGATAGTGAGATGGTTAGTGAGACCGACAGTGAGATCGAGAGGTGTCCCGCGGTGTCCCGTGGTGGTCCGTGGTGGCCCGTGGTGTCCCGTGGTGTCCCGTTGAGTGAGATCGATAGTGGGATCGATAGTGAGATCGACATGTGTTCCGTGGTGTTCCGTGAAGTTCCGTTGAGTGAGATCGATAGTGATAGTGAGGTCGATTGAGTCAGATGTTGGTTCCCCCCTCTCCCTCCCCCACAACCTCCTTATCACCCGAAGGGTGGTCGTACAGGTACCCCAGCCGGTGGCAGGTGAGGGTATACATTTCCAGCCGCCCTGGGACAGGCACCCCCGGCGGCGGAAACGTTTATTTTCTACCGTTCTTCGGTCGTGAGAATTACATAAGCATACAGACTCGGAGGTCCGCGTGGCTGCCTCTCCTCGGTGCTGGGGCCCCTTTGGCGGCGCCTCCGGCGCCGCCTTTGGAGCGCGCTGGGCGCGCCAGGGGAGGGGGGTCCAGCGCCGATCCGAGAAGTCCGTGCGGGCCTCTGGGCTTGTAATGTATGTGTCAGTGTTTTCGGGGGTGGACAGACCTCCTAACAGTGACACGTCGATTAGTGCATTGTCCGTTTTCGGTTCTCGAGAGGGCGCCGCGGCCGTTATTTTCCAGGCTTGCGCCCGCCAGGTTTGGGCCTCAGGTCGTTTTCACTAAACCACGTTTTACTAAAGGGAGGTCTGTCCATCCCCGATGTTTGCTCCCCTACGCCATGTGTGAAGCGAAGGCCAAGGAAAACGTGGAGCATGAGCTGATGACTGCGGGCGTGCCGGTACCTGTAGCGCGCCGGAGAAGAAGCTCGGGGAGAGAGGCGCACCTCTCCGGGGCCTGTTGGGCGAGGGGTGGCACTTCCGGGCTCCAGGGGCCCCATCGGGCCCTGTCGGGGCAACTTGAGCGACGACTGCGCGGACACTCGCGCGAGCAAGGTGCCCGCGCGCAATGGCGCGTGAGCGTCCTCGTTTCCACTCTGGCGTGCCGCGCTGGTGGCCCGCGTCACCCGCATAAGGAAAAGGAATGGAGGAGGAGGAGGAGGAGGAGGAGGAGGAGGAGGAGGAGGACCATCGTGCGCAAGACCCGTTTCTTCCCGTCGCTCGCTTCCCTTGCGACCCTCGATCGCCCCCCGCGTTCACGTGTTGCACCTTCGGGGGGCCGCGCCTGCCCCGCAACCTCTCCTTTCCGCCGCCAGGGAGATCCCGCCCTGCCTTTCCACCCGCTCTCTGGCCAGTCCCTCGCAGGGCTGTCCCCCGGCACGAGTATACGGAAGTACAGGCCAGTCGTACAGCAAGGCTGCGCAACTTTCCTGGGCTGCCCCCTGCATCCTTGCCCCTTCGGCCTCTCCTTGGCGACTTTCGCTGGCCGGCCCCGCTCGAGAACGCCAACATGGCCCTCCAAACTCTGGCGTGCCGCGCTGGTGGCCCGCGTCACCCGCATAAGGAAAAGGAATGGAGGAGGAGGAGGAGGAGGAGGAGGAGGAGGAGGAGGAGGAGGAGGAGGAGGAGGAGGAGGAGGAGGAGGAGGAGGAGGAGGAGGAGGAGGAGGAGGAGGACCAACATGGCCCTCCAGGGCCCTCCAGGGCCCTTAGCATCCTGAGCGCGCATCCTCACCAGCCGTGTCTGGACTGCCGCCTCGGCCGCCCGCTCCCGGGCGCCTCGCCGGCGCGTCGGGCCACCAGGGCGGGACGTCCGCCCCGCGAGTGCGGGGCGGACGTCCAGCGAGGGGCTGCCCGCAGCCTCCGCATTGCGGGGAGCCCGGAATTGGCTCGGCAACCGCCTGGTTCCGGGGGCGGACAGGACCTCCCAACAGTGGCACGTCGATGAGTGCATGGTCCGTTTTCGGTTCTCGAGAGGGCGCCGCGGCCGTTGTTTTCCAGGCTTGCGCCCGCCAGGTTTGGGCCTCAGGTCGTTTTCACTAAACCACGTTTTACTAAAGGGGGTTCTGTCCATCCCCGACTGTTCGTGTCGGGGGAGCGTAAGACCCGGGTTTGCCAGGGCTCGGGTTCGCCATCGTTTTTTGACGACCGCGCCTCGGATTTTGACGAGGAGGAGTGTCGTGGGACGTCTGCAGCGGGAGGCCTCGTCAAAATGCAGGCTCGGCCTCGTCATTTTTTTGACGACCTCGTCGGGGATTTCCGAGTCCCCTGTACCCAGGTCTTACGTCCCCCTGATCATGGTGATTCCAGGGGTCCCATACTTCGCATGCCGAGTTCGGGGGCGGCAAAGATCTCGAGGGGGGTGATGACTAGGGGGAGGGGGGGGGGGGGGGGGGGTGATATCATGGCGTGGGGCCATGATATTTTACCAGATTCCATGGCGCCTCTTCTTATTTCATGACGTCCCCTGGCCCCCCCGTTTGGCCGCGCACATGCCGTCGCCCCCCCCCCCCCCCCCCGCCCCCCTCTTGGCCGCCCCCGACGAGTACGGCGCGCTCCTTGCTGAAGCACTGGGAGCTCCACCGGTGCAAACGGGCGCCGCGCCCACGCCCCTTGTCCCGTGGGCGTTCGCCCGAGGCGCCGCGCGGGAGCCTGGCCTCGTGCTGCTGCACTGCTCGAGGGGCGGCCCCGCCCCCCCCCCCCGCGCGCCTGGCGCCTCCTCCTCCTCCTCGACTGTCCCCCTCCTCCTTTTTGTCCCCTCCTGCTCTGTCCCCCCTCCTCCCTCCCCTCCTCCCTCCCCTTCTCCTCCTCCTCCTCCTCCTCCTCCTCCTCCTCCTCCTCCTCCTCCTCCTCCTCCTCCTCTGTCCTCTTCCTCCTCCTGCTCCTCCTCCTCCTCCTCCTCCTCCTCCTCTGTCCTCTTCCTCCTCCTCCTGCTCCTCCTCTTTCCCCTCATCCTCCGTCCTCCCGCTGATTGCCGATTGCTGATGGCCTGGGCGTTCACCGGACGCGGCCTCCCCTCCTCCTCGTCCGCGGCCTCCTGCTCCGGCCGCTCCTCGCCCTCCCCCTCCCCCTCCTTCCCAGCTGCACTGGGAAGGGCCCCCCCTCCCCTCCCCCGCGCCCCCGCGACCGCGCGCCCGCGCCCGACCGGTCATGGCGGGCGCCCAGCCCGAGGCCCTGGCGGGGGGCGAGGGCGCTGGCGCCGCGGCGGGCGCGGCGCGAGAGCTGGCGGAGGATGGCGAGCGGCCCGTGCTCGGGACGATCGAGAGGGGTACGGCAGGTTCGTGCCGTGTCGACCGGCGGCGACCCCGCCAGCGGTGTTCAACGTTGAACGCCGCGGGCGACCCAGCATCGTCCGATGTGGAGCGATTTGGGCGCTTCGGGAACGGCCGATCGTTCGAGGTCCGGCGATCCCCGCGGCGTCAGAAGCCAACGCCGAAGTCGGCACGACACGAACCTGACGTACGGAGACAAAGGGTTTCCAGGCCGACAGCATGTCGTGATCATTTTGAACAGGACTCGCAGTCGGTGTCCCCAAGGTCGCCTGCCCAACAGCGGCCGCTTTTGGCTTTGGACAGCACTTGTGGTGGCGCCCAGATGTGTGCACCGTGCCCCGTTGGCGTCACCCCGGGGCGTCGTCACTCCTCGGCCCAGGCACGGTGCATTGGTTCTTCCTCGACCCAGGCATCGTCGATACTTGACCCCGACGTCGCCGACCCTCGAGCTGGGTGCGAGCCGCGTGCGGGGAGGGTTGATGGGGCTCGTGAAACAACCGCGTGGACTGTTCGTGACCGTGCGGAACCCAAACCACCTTCCCCCGCAGAGTTTTGACAGCGGCGGGCTTGAATGCCGCGAATCTGTTTTCCGCCCGTCAGTTGAGTTCATGTGATATCAGAGGTCCGAAGCAGTGTATGAATCAGATCCGTGTGCAAAAACAGGACGGACATCACATCCACAACGTCCGAAATTGCATCCGCGCGGGGCAAATTTGATCCATCGCAGAGCAATTCCAAACCAAATTCGGACCCGCACCATCTCAATTGGATTCGCCAAGATGTATTTCGTGCGCGCTGGCGCCAATTCTGAAGGCACCATGTCCGGGCCCAAGAGGAAACACGTTCTTCGGGAGCCTTGAGACGAGGGTCAATGCAAACGGCGGTCAGCCAGAGCGCCGGATCTTGCAGGATCCTGCAGAGCCTTGGGCGCATTGACCCGGGCTTGGGTGCAGGATCCTGCAGGATCTTGCAACGCCTGACCGACCCGGGGGTCTCGATTGACCCTGGTCAGTAAATCCCCGACGCTCGTCCTGAGGATGGGCGTTTCGGTTCTCGGAATCGCTTATTATCACAGAGCCAACATACCACATCTGACCTTCGTTACCCGCAACGTACGTTCAACATTTTCTGCCCGGTACGTCCTCGCAAAAGTCCGCGCCGTGCCTTGGGCGAGGAGACGCAGGCCGAAAACGCATGTACGCATGACGAGAGATTTTCTTCTTGAGGCACCAGCGGCGACAAGCGGTTGGCGAGAGAACATCGGCATCGCCAGACGCACAGCGTCTGGGCAAGATGCTTACAGCAGCCCAGGGTGAGCCGAAAAGTACTCATGTTGGGTGCGAGCCGCGTGCAGGGAGGGTTGATGGGGCTCGTGAAACAACGCGTAACCTGTCTGTGACAGCTCGTGACTCAAACCACCTTCCCCCGTAGACTTTTAACAGCGGCAGGCTTGAATGCCGCGGATCCGCTTTCCTCCCATTCGCTAAGTTCATGTGATATTATAATTTTGAAACGCCGTATAAATCAGATCCGCGTTCAAAAACAGGACGGACATCATATCCACAACATCCGAAATTGGATCCGCGCGGAGGAAACCACATTCGGATCCGCGACCATCCACACATTCAGTAGGTTCCGCCAACATTTATTCCATGCGCGCTGACGCAAAAACTGAAGGCAACATGCCTGGGCAAAAGAGGGAACAACTTTTGTCCTGGGGATGTATTCTGTGTCCCTCAATATTTCTGGGTCCCCAGACTACAGCTACCCCTTGGACTACAAGAAAGCTCTCCCCGAACTACAAATACCTCTCCCCTGGACTACAGGACCCCCCCTGCACTACAGGTACCCCCTGCACTACAGGTAACTTCTTCCCCGGTGCACCAGGCTACAGGTACCCCCCAGGAATACATCCACGAAAGCGTTGGCGCGTGAACGCGCGTTCCCCCCTAGACTGCAGGTACCCCCCCCGACTACAGGTACCCTTCTCCAGGACTACAGGTACCCCACCCCGGACTATTGGTACTCCCCTCCCCGGACTACAGCTACCCTGCCCGGACTACAAATATTCCCAGCACGATTGAAGGAAAAAGAGTAACAGGCGTTTCCCAGGGGTGGTGGAGGGGGTGGGGGGAGGGGGTCGGTCACATTACGATCCGCGGACGCCGTCTGGGAATAATCAGGAATGGCATGCTCCCAGACGGCGCTGGCGGAATCGTGACATTACCAGGGGTGACGAACGATCAACACGCACCCATACCCATCGGGGAGACGGAATGAGCTATGGGTGCGTGTTGTCGGATAGGGGTCCCCGCTCGAACGGGAGCCTCCCCAGGGGTCCGACAGCCCGCACCCATACCCATAGCCAGTCCTTCTCCCTCCGGCCTCCCTATGGGTATGGGTGTGTGTTGCTCGTTCGTCAAGGGGGGGGAGATGGAGAGAAGGGGTGGAGGCGGGTCGTCGTCGGCGCGGGCGCCCTCGCCCATGGTCCGCAACGGGCGCCCCCCCCCCGAGGACCGGAAGGCCGCGGGCAACGGCCACTTCGCCGCGGGCGACCTCGAGGGCGCCCTGCGGTGCTACGGGCAGGCGCAGGCCGCCGCCGCCGCGGCCGGCGGCGAGCGGGCCCTCGTGGCCTCCCTGGCCTGCAACGAGGCGCTCTGCCTGCTGAGGCTGGGGAGGCCCGCGGAGGCTCGCGGGCGGAACCGCGGCGGCGCGGGCCGGGGCCTCCTTGGCCGCGACCCCGCGGGCGCGGGGCGTCGCGCTCCGCGGCTGCCCCCGCGCGGGGCGCAGCGCTCTGTGCGATCGCGCGCCCGCGGGACCGCGCCCCGGAATCCCAGGCCGCGAGGGCGCGGATCCCAGACCCCCTCCTCGAGTCATGAAAAAATCACGACGGGAGGTTTTTCGTTATTTTTGGCCTCCGGGGGCCCTTACCGGCCCTCGGGAGCGTCAAAAAACGACTCAGGACGAAAAACCGGTCCTGGGGAATGGGTCCAGACCGCTGGGGGTCGACGTCATGAAAAATTCATGACGTCGGGGGTCTGGGATGCGGGCACGCCCTCGGCCACGTGCGGAGTGGGCAGGGGAGAGGGGGGAGGGCCTTTCAGAAGCACCCCTGCTTCTCAGCAGGCGCGGGCCCTGCCATCGGATCCATAGATGGAGGGCCAGCGCCTTCCAAGAAGCAGCCTCCCTGTAAGAAGGATGCCCCATGGTGCGCGCCGCCGCTGTTTGCCGCTCGTGAGAGGCGGAGGAGCGCGCCAGCGCGGCGCTGGCCGCCGACCCCGCCAGCGGCAAGGCTGCCTACCGCCGCGCCCTGGCACGCCTGGAGCTCGGCGACGCGCGCGGCGCGCTGGGGGACCTGCAGAAGGCCGCACCGCCAGAGCACGTTCACGTCCGCGCAGTGCAGTCACAGGGGGTTGCGCCTGGGGATTTCTCCTCCCCGCCTCCTCCTCCTCTTCGTCCTCGTCCTCCGCCTCCTCCTCCTCCTCCTCATCTTTTCCTCCTCCTCCTCCTCCTCCTCTTCCTCCTCCTCCTTTTGTTCCTCCTCATCCTCCTCCTCTTCCTCTCCCTCCTCCTCCTCCTCCTCATGCCGACGCCTTTCGATACGGGGCAAGCCGAAAAGCCCGGGGGACGCACTTGGCGCCACTAAGAATTTCCTGAACTCGAAGAGCACCCCTGGTTAGCCCTTATCCAGTGAACGGCCAGGCGACAGTGGCCTAGGACCTTTCGCCCTCACACTCAGGGCAGGCATGGGGCCGTATGGGCCTGGATGCCCATCCGTGTCGATGGACAGGCACGGGCGCCCGCGCTCTTGGTGCCTGAAGCAACGTCGGCAGTGCTGTCTATCGTGCATCAGCAGGTTCTGCGTGTTTGCCTCCGTCGCGAGGCAGTCGCCTCAAAGACACAGCCAGGCGGCAAGGCTGGCGGTCCTGCGGCACTCACGTTTCCTTGGTGTTCGCACTCCGTTGCCTGTGGGCGCTGCCTGGCGGTAGCGCTAGTTTGCGTGCAGTTGCCGAGTCCGCACGCCTGCCCCCTGTCGCGGGGCAGATCCTTCAAGGACGTTGCCCAGCGGCAAGGCCGGCGTGTTTTTCACACTCCCGTCGACCAGTCACCAAGGTTCGTCTTCTTTGAGACGCTGGCTGGCGGCAGTGCCAGTCATCTTGCGTCCGCAGGGTACGCACGCCTAGCCCGCCGCGAGGCTGTTGCTTCAAGGGCGCTGGCCGGCGGCGAGGCCAGCGGACCTGCACATTCTCACGTGGCACCGATAACAAAGGTTGTCTCGTGTTGGACACTGGCTGGCGGCAGTGCCCTACTTCGTGCATGCAAGGACAGCCTGGCGGAAAGTCCGGCGGTCCCGAAACTTTTCACGTCGAGCCGCCACCAAGGTTCGTCTCTTCTTGGAAGCAGGCTGGCGGCAATGCCAGCCATCGGGCGTCCGCCGATTATGCCCGCCGCCACATCCGTCGCGAGGCTGGCGCCTCAAGGACCTTGCCCGGCTGCAAGGCCAGCGGCCCCGCACGTTCTCATGCCTCTCCAGTCGCCACGCTCCGTTTTCTTTTGAGCGCTGGCTGGCGGCAGTGCTGGCTTCGGGGGGTCCACGGTCGCTACGCGCTTACCCCTGTCGTTGAGGAGTTGCCTCAAGGACAGCGCGGCGGGATGGCAGGCGGGCCTCCGCACCCTCGCGAGGGTCGTGATACCACAGCTCGTCTCTTTGCGTGCGCGGTCTTAGCGGCACTGTCGCACTCTGTGTTTCCGCAGATTCTGCGTGTGTTTACCTTCGTCTCCAGGCAGTCGCTTTGAGGACGTTGCCTGGCGGAAAGGCCGTCGGTCCTGCACGCTCACACTGGCCTGGACTCACAGTCGTCTCCGTTGGGCGCTGCTTGGCGGCAGTGCCAGCTTGCGTCTGTCCGCAGATTCTGCGCGCTTGTCCCCGTCGCGAGGCAAATGCCTCAAGGACGTTGCCCGGCGGCAAGGCTGGCGGTGGTCCTGCACACTCACGCCGAACTGCTACCGAAGTTCGTCTCCTATTGGGTGTTGTCTGGCGGCAGTGCCGGCTATCGTGCATCCGTAGATTCCACAATCGGACACAGGCGGGCGGCAAGGCTGGCCGTCCTGCACACTCACAACTCCTTGGTTGTCGTATGTCATTTGGTAGGCGCTGTCTTGGGTCCTTCTTGGGGCCTTGTTGCCCCCCCAAACAGATATACGCATGGCCACGGTCATTCGCGTATCTTTCGGGGCACGTTTGAGGTCAACTTGGGGTCCCTGGGGGGCCTCTGGGATCTCGGTCGGGGTTTGTTTTGGGTCCCGAGCGGGCTGGAAGAGGCCCCTTGAAATTATACTCAGATGGCCTTGGTCATGTGAGTACTCGTTCGGGGCCTCGTGAGGACCTCTTGGGGTCCCTGAGTCGTCCATGCAATGCGGCCCCGCGGCCATCACGGCGACCCCCGCGCCCCTGGGGGGCGGCCCTGCTGCGCCTCCAGCTCCATCAACACCGCTGCCAGCGCCCTCCGAGGCACGCCCGGCGGCCCACGAGGCTTTGGGAACCACCGCAGGTGGCCTCGGCGGCGGCCCCTCGGCGATCTCGGCGGCCTCCGCGGCCCTGTGGGCAGCGTCCCAGGGGCTTCGGCGGCGGCCCCGAGGCCCGCAGCAACCTCAGGTGCAGCAGCAGTAGCGTCAGGCCCCTGCGTCGTGTTAAGTCGGGCACGTCCGTCTACAGGAGGAGCATTCAAACGTTGTAAAAATGGTCGGGTGGCGAATTGCCGATTTTTGTCCCAACCATCCTGTGATGTTGGATCCTCTTTTTGAAGAGACGGTCCCCGCGTTCCTCCTCTCTCCTCTCTCCTCCTCCTCCTCCTCCTCCTCCTCCTCCTCCTCCTCCTCCTTCTCCTCCTCCTCCTCATATCCGGGAAGCATCTGTCTCGGCGCAGCGAGAGGCGGCGGGGGAGGGGACGGCGTGGTAGGGGAAGGGACTCTGTCCGAAGCGTGGGCGCAGCAGGATGTAGGTATAATATCAATCAGGCCCATCAGCAGGTGGTTGGCGTGTATGGGGCCTCCTGCATTCTCCCCCCCTCTCCCTTGCGTTGTCTCCCTGTCTCTCGTTCTCGGCCCATCTTCTGAATGTGCCGCATGTTTCCCCATATGTTCTGGTGTAGTAGTGTGACCTTGCAGAGGCCGGAAGGAGGATATGTAGAGTTTGTCTGAACGCGTTTGGCGCGGGAAGCGAAATTTGAACGCGTCTGGCGCGGGGAGCATTTGTCCCGGCGTAACTTGTGAGAGCAGAGAACTCGAGCGAGGACTTTTCGGAGTGATGGAGTTCTTGTGTTGGTGGAGGGGGGAGGGGGACGGGCTTTTCGGAACACCGGAATTCTGACTCACAAATTAAAGAAGGGCTCAGGGCACCCCCATACTTGGGGACCCTGTTCGCCAGCGTGTCCCCCAGAGAGGGCACGCGAACAGGCCAGCAGCTGTTCCCCTCGCACTGACCCGAAGGACTCGTCTTAATCATCGAGCCTCTCTTATGGGGCCACCTCGGAACTCGTCCCGTTGAGCTTCGGGGTCTGCCCCCTGCTCGCCCCAGGAGAAGTTTGGGGTGCGCGGCATACTTCATCATCGCAAGGAGACGGCCCCAGTGGGGGTTCCCGCATGCGTCCGCCACACCCAGCACAGCGCTTCGTAGCCCCATAAGGAGCTCCACAGAAGGCCCCAACGGGGGTGCCCGCATGCGTCCCCACCGAAGGCCCCAATGGGGGGTGCCCGCGTGCGTCCGCCACACCCAATACAGCGCTTCGTGGTCCCATGGGGAGCTCCACCGAAGGACCCCAGTTGGTGTGCCCACATGCGTCCGCCACACCCACCGCAGCGCATCGTTGCCCCGTAGGGAGCTCCACCGTAGGCTCCACACGGGGTGCCCGCACGCGTCCGCCGCACCCAGTACAGCGCTTCGTGGTCCCATCGAACGGAGCTCCACCGAAAGCCACACCGGGGGTGCCCGCATGCGTCCGCCGCACCCAGTGCAGCGCTTCGTGGCCCCAGAGGGGGCTCCACAAGGGGGGTGCCCGCATGCGCCCGCCAAACCCAGTGCAGCGCTTCTGACCCCAAACGGAGCTTCACCGGAGGTTCCAGTTGGGGTGCCCGCATGCGTCCGCCACACCCAATACAACGCTTCGTGGCCCCATGGGAACCCAGCGAAGGTCCCAGTGGGACCGCCCGCATGCGCCATCCTTTCCCAGTAAAGCGTCTCGTGGTCCTTATGGTGGAGCTCCACCAAAGGCCCCAATGGCACCGCCCGCATGCGTCCCTTCAACTCACTACAGCGCGCCGTGGCCCCACAAGAAGCTCCACCGAAGGCCCCACTGGGACCTCCCGCGTTCGTCCCCCCCACCCATGACCGCACGCCCCATCACGCGTTGCGTGGCTCACCGGAAGCGGCACCCACAAGGAGTTTCTGACAACTACACATGGTTGGGTCCTTCGCCAGGATATTGTTGTGATATATATATATAGAGAGAGATATAACAAAAATACAGTTGTCTTTTGTATGCTTTATTTGTCCTCCAAAATCTGTCTGTAGAGGAGCATGCCCGACCTAAGCTTAATTGCATCCGTCCGCTTAGCCCGCCGACCAGCACCACGCTAAAAACCAGCTGACATGAAACTATCCGTTGGCCCACCCGTGGAAACCAATGCTGCCAGCACGCTCGACGGCAGCAGCAGCGGAGCAGCGGGTCAGGGACGCATCCCCTGGCATCACGTCTTCGTGGAACAGTCGTCATGCTCTCAGTAGGGGCAAAGCGTGCTTGGCCAACGGTATGTGACAAGCGTCAAGCGTACTCACGCTTGGTTCCCAAATCAGCAGGGAGTTCAATTCCATCAGGCACACGGATTCCCTATAGAGTGGAGGCGCGATTCGTCGCGGATTCCCGGGGCCCCCCACTTTTGGGTGTACCGGCCTATCTGTAGATGCGGGGTGTTCGATTCGAACCATATCCCCAGACCCATGTTTTGGTGCCTTAGGCCATCCGCAGTGACAAGGGTGCTCGATTCGAGCGGGAATCCCAGGCTCGTTTTCCGTGTCGATGGCAGGACTTCGCAGCGCCCGTCTCCAGGTCAGGATTCGTGTCACGGCCTCGGGTGGTCGGGGGGGTGGGGAGTCTTAACCCACACGCCCTGTCTTTCCTCCCATCCGTTGCCTTTGGCCCAGGACTTGCAGTCACGTGATCGGGCATCACAGCCTGCCGTCCAGGCCCGGAGAGCGTGGCCGCAATTCGGGGCGACCATGAGGACGACCCTTTGTTTTCGGAGAGCGGTCACGGGCTCGATGAGGACATCTTCTTCGGCAATACGGCGTGCGTGGAGGCAGGAGGTGAGGAAGGAACCTCGTCTCAAATGCATCTGCCTCAGACGGGTGCAGACATCCGCGCGGCCCGCCCTGAGCGGTCCCTCCAAGGCCTGAGTCCCCTCCTTAGGTTCAGCCCTTGGAGGGCGCGGGGGGGGTATCCTGGAGGACGGAGGGTTGCAACCTTGTGCCGGCGAAGGCTGGCATTGCGGTGGTAGCAAGCAAAATGTCATGGCGGATCTTACCGCATCCGCCTTCCGTCCCATCCCCGCCCTTTATCACCCCGTCCAGGTGCGCCTCCCCCCACCACCTGCATCTCCCCGAGGAACGAGGTCGTCTGGAGGCCGCGTCGGGCAGGCGGGCTGAGGCTGCGGCGACGTCAACGTGGCTGGAACGGCGGCGACCGCATAGAGGCGGCGGCCTCTTAGATTGCCAGTGCGCCCTGAGCGCAACACAAGCCAGAACCAAAGCGTGGGGTGCAGCCGCCTGCTGGGCGGTGCATCCGCGGCTGGGAGGAACATTGAATAACATATTGCGCTGGCGTATGCTTGGTGGCGCGGGGGGCCAAGACGCTCTAGGCGCAGCTACTTGGATCGACGTGTATTTTGACCGGCGGTCGAACGACGGTCATCGCTCAACGGACGAGCGCGCGCCAACCTGTTGCCCCACGGGTGGCGTTCTGCCCTGCTGTGGAGGAGGCGTTCTTATGTCACCCGCAGGCCGGCGATCAGTCCCGCTGGGGAGCCGCCTAACCGTCACCCCTAGAGTGGCGATGATCAGCACTGGTCTGTCTGTCTGTCTCTCGCTCTCTCTCTCTCTCTATTTCTCTGTATTGGTTATTTGCTGTTGTTGTTTATCTCTCTCTCTCTCTCTCTGTCTTTCTCTTTGCTATGTTGTTTGATGTGTTTGTTTCTCTCTCTCTCTCTCTTTCTCCTGTCCGTTCCCCTCCTAGTGCTCCTCGTCCCTGTCTCTGCCCTCCTGGGGGTGAGGAGCCATCCCGACTGCATCACGGAGGCCGCCCTTGGAGGTGGGCCCCGGGACTTCGAGGACCTCTCGAGGAGCTCTTGCTGTGGATACCTCCACGCCTCCGACGACTGGAGGGTGTCCCCACGCGCCCTTCCCTCCGTCCCGATGCAAGACCTCGAAGACCTCTGGGTGTGGATACCTCCACGCCTCCGACGACCGGAGGGTGTCCCCACTCGCCCCTCCCTCCGTCCCGACGCAAGACCTCGAAGACCTCTCGAGGAGCTCTTGGTGTGGGTACCTCCACGCCTCCGACGACTGGAGGGTGTCACCACGCGCCCCTCCCTCCGTCCCGACGCAAGACCTCGAAGACCTCTCGAGGAGCTCTTGGTGTGGATACCTCCACGCCTCCGACGACTGGAGGGTGTCCCCACGCGCCCTTCCCTCCGTCCCGACGCAAGACCTCGAAGACCTCTCGAGGAGCTCTTGGTGTGGGTACCTCCACGCCTCCGACGACTGGAGGGTGTCCCCACGCGCCCTTCCCTCCGTCCCGACGCAAGACCTCGAAGACCTCTCGAGGAGCTCTTGGTGTGGGTACCTCCACGCCTCCGACGACTGGAGGGTGTCCCCACGCGCCCCTCCCTCCGTCCCGACGCAAGCAGTCGCACGTGCCAGCGCCGAGAGCCGTGCGCAAGCTCGCCGACGTCGCACGACGCCCACGCGCAGGCACACGACCCTCTCCCACAGCCAGCACTGGGCCAAGCAACGCATCAGACGTTCTGCCTAGATCGTCTGGGATCCTTCCTCCTCCTCCTCCTCCTCCTCCTCCTCCTCCTCCTCCTCCTCCTCCTCCTCCTCCTCCTCCTCCTCCTCCTCCTCCTCCTCCTCCTCCTCCTCCTCCTCTCCCCCCCCCCCTCCTCACATCCTACACAGTTCCTCCTCCCTCCTCCTCTTCCTCCGTGTCCTCCTCCTCCTCCTCGCCCTCTCCGGCCTGCGAGCCGCAGCCTTCTCGGTTCCAGGCTCCAGCTTGGTCCGACCGATCCGATTCGATATCCATTTCGGCTAGTGCGATCTGATCCGCTTCCCACTTCCCCACGATGTGGTGCGACCCGATGCCTGCAAGGCGTTTCTGTGCATCCTTGCGCAGCCGGTCAGATTCGATTCTGACTCCGTGCCAATGCGGCCCGATCTGACCACTTTCCGATTCGATCAGATGTTGCAATGCGATGCTGACTGATCCTGCAGTTCCCGGGCGGGGCTCCATCATTTGTCAGTTTTGTGCCAAGACCTTCGACATTGTGATTGTTTTGTGACGTAGACTCCGAGAGGTCTAGACCCTTTGCCGGGGACAGGCTTGTCATTCCGAGTCGTTCTCTTGACGGTCCCGGCGCCCGTCAAGGGCCCCCAGGGGCCGAAGACTGCCCGAAACTTTCCGTCGTGCTTTCCTCACGACGCGAGGATGTCAGGGTCCGAGGGTTCTGGAGAGAAAACCCCCCTTACCCTGTAAAACAATTGTTCTCGAGGGGCGGATCTGAGGGAAAACAAACTAGGGTCGGGGAACCTGGGGGGTTCTGAGACAGTTGGGTGGGAACACCCGCCTAACACCAACCCCACTGAGGGGGGGGGGGTCCGGGGAGATTGGGGGGGGGGAGACCTGGCGGGGGAATTTCAGGCTGGGTCCGGGCGAAAATCCCATGAAACCCCCTTTGAGGGGAGCTCTGGGGGGGATCTGGGGGGTCAGCTGCGGATGTGGATGTCCTACAGTCGGCCCGGATTAGTAGGTCGACCCTGCCAGCTCAAGGGTACCTTTGTGTCCCGTGCCTCGCGGCACGTGCCTTCTTACACTCCTATGGCGACGTGGCCCTCGGCAGGGTCTTGTGTCCTCTCGCGTGTCCTGTCCAATCAAGGCCGACTGTAATGGCGGTGCAGTACGAAGGCGTCGCGCCTGGAGCCCCACAGCTTCGGCGGTCGCCCGGCCACCCCGGGAGTGCCCATGGTTTTTTGGATGGGCTCTGCAGCAGCTAGTGGGAGCCTCGTGCATCCTCGGTAATTGCGCCCTGGGAGCGCACTATCGGAAACTGGAACATATACACTACCAGTGGCGGGCTGTTTTTTCAATCCCAGGGCTTTTAGGCTCGGAGACGATGTCGGGGTGACCAGGATCCCGTATACACCAGGATCCTTTTTCCTGTGCGAATTTCAGTGCAGGGCCGGAAAAACATCGGTGTATAGAGTTCGGTTCCCTACGCTAGCGTGCAATAGCCTCTGGTAGTCGGTGAGAAAGCGGCGATTTAGCGTCGATTAGCGTCGCTTGAGTGTCGATTAGCGTCGACTCGCGTCGGTTAGGGTCGGTCCGCAAGGCGCAGCAAGATGACACGGGAGGCTCCCATGAGTTGCCGCCGAAGACGGGCGTCGGCTGTCTGCCACGCCGATCCTGGCCTTAGGGTCGATCCTGGGAAGACGCCTCCGAAGACCTCTCGCCGTGAGGGTCGAGGATCAATGACCAAAGACTGGGGGCGCTTTCCGGCTCTCTTGGGCCTCCAGGAGGCCTCCTTGCCGCCACGGCCGGACCCGCCCCAGGCTTCTTCGCGCCATGAGTCGGGGGTGGACAGAACCCCCAACAGTGACACGTCGATTAGTGAATTGTCCGTTTTCGGTTCTCGAGGGGGCGCCGTGGCCGTTATTTCCCAGGCTTGCGCCCGCCAGGTTTGGGCCTCAGGTCGTTTTCACTAAACCACGTTTTACTAAAGGGGGGTCTGTCCATCCCCGAATGAGGGTCCAGGATCCACGATCGATCATTGGGGACGTCTTCTGGCTGCCTTGGGCCTCCAAAGGAGGCCTCCTGGTCGCCACCGCCGGACCACGGAACACTGTGGCCGGAACGCACCCCGGGATGGGCCCCGGGGGTCGCCTTTCGACCCCCGGGCCAAGACCTCTAAAACGACGCGAAGATCGGAACAAAATCGGATCGGGATACCTCGAACTCTCTGAGAATCGGCGGGTTTGTAGGACGTACTGGGCGCCGCGGCCGCCCCAGAGCGTTCCGGAACGCTCTGAGAGCGCTCCGAAACGCTTTGGAGCGATTTATCCCGATCCTAGCCCTGTTTTAACCTCCCCGCGCCGTGGCACAAGAAAAGCATACGGCGGTGGCTTCCGCGGCCGCCCTTCCTGTCGGGCCCGGCGGCCGTCGACAGCACGACCCGCTCCCGTGGGGTCCGCGTTGCGAAAGGGGCCACGATGTCGGAGGTGTGGATCCCTGGTCCGGCCAGGGCCTCGGACGGCCCAGGCCCACCGATCCCGGGCCCAGGACGGGCTTGGCTCGAACCTCGGTGCGGGCAATACTTATATCCATATCCAGAGCGTCTTTGAATGTTTGGGAAGGGGTACCGCAAGGCCGGGTCGCACTGGATATGGATAACAATCGAGCCTTTGGTGGCCAGATGTTTATCCATATCCAGTGCGCCTCCAGTTTCTAGGGAAGGTAGCCCAAAACTCCAAGACCCACTGGATGTGGATATAACTACTGCCCGCACTCGGGGCCAGCGAGGCGGACCGCCGACGTCCACGGACAATGGGGGCGGAGGCGGCCGGGAGCAGTCAGCCTGACCCTAAAAGAGGGCCCTCCCCCGCCCCTTCACGACGGTCGCCATCAGCCGCTTCTGGACGGCTGTCTGCTGGGCCTCTGGGGCGTCTGCGTGGCTGTCCCTGGGGCCCCGTGGGCCGCAGAGGGGGCCCTGGGAGCAGCCAAGCTGGCCCTCCGGACGCCCTCAACCCCGTCGGTCGCCCTCGGCCGCTCCTGGAGCCCTTTGAAGGGCTGCTTGATGGGCCTTCATCGGGAGGGAAAGAAACACACAGACACAATTAATCGCTGACTCCCAGGAAAAATGTCGTAAAATATGGGACTTGGGGGGGAAGACAAAAACCCAGAAGATATGCGAAAGATATGGGGGATCTTTTTATTTGTGTGTATTTTTGTTGCGTGTCCCAGGGCCCCTTCACTTCAGAAGGTCATGCCATGTCACCTCTGGGCCCCCCGGGTGGCCAGACGACCACCGTGCGCGGCAGGGAGGTGAGGCTGAGGCTGGAGGAGGCGCGGAGGCTGCTGGACGCCGCGCCCGCCGACCAGCGGGAGGCCCCATGGCACGCGCGCCTGCCACGACAGGAACGGGAGTCTGGAGGAGGAAGATGAGGATGGCTATCATGCCAACGTCGATGATCATGACGGTGATGACGGTGATGATGAGGCGGATGACGATGATGAGGATGGTGATGGTGATGATGAAGGTAACTCTGAGGAGGAGGAGGAGGAGGATGCTAATGCTGATGCTGATGTTGATGCTGGTGCCGGTGCTGATGCTGATGCTGCTGAGGATGAGGACGATGATGAGGATGAGGATGATGCTGAAGATGTTGTTGTTGTTGTTGATGATGATGATGATGATGATGTTGATGTTGATGATGATGGCGATACTGATGAGGATGATGCTGATCATGACGATGCTGCTGATGATGCTGATGATGTTACTGATGATGATATTGCTCATGTTGATGGTGATGGTGATGCTGTAGTGATGGTCGGTGTTGTCGTTACTGTTGTTGTTGTTGCTGTTGGTGTTGGTGTTGGTGTTGGTGTTGGCGCTGCTGTTGTTGTTGCTGCTCTTGTTGAGGTTATGGTGTTGTTGTGTCTGGTGTTGTTGTTGTTGTTGTTGTTGTTGTTGTTGTTGTTGTTGTTGTTGTTGTTGTTGTTGTTGTTGTTGTTGTTGTTGTTGTTGAACTTTAATTACTAAACAATTATTATTGTTGGACCCCCTATATTCGCCCTGGCGCTCTCGCCGAGGCGCCGGCCGCATTTCCTTTGAAATTGAGGCTCACGCTCAAGCGTTTTGGGGTTCCGCCAAAACCGGCCCCCCAACAACAACAACGCTCCGGCTCGAGACTTCCTCTTTTTTTACTCGGGCTCGGTGCTCTTGCTCGCCGCCGAGAGCGGCTCCCGGGCCGGACGCCCGGGTCGGCGCCCGAGCCGGCGCCCGGGCGCCGGAAAATCGAGTTCCGAGGCGGCGCCGAAAAAAGGCCATTCCAATACACATTTTTCTTTCGAAAATGCTGAATTTCTGCTTCCGGCGCCCGGGAGGGAGGCCGTCTGGGCCGATTCCGGAGCTCGGGCCGGCACCCGGCCCGGCTCCCGGGCCGGACGCCCGGGTCGGCGCCCGAGCCGGCGCCCGGGCGCCAGAAAATCGAGTTCCGAGGCGGCGCCGAAAAAAGGCCATTCCAATACACATTTTTCTTTCGAAAATGCTGAATTTCTGCTTCCGGCGCCCGGGAAGCCGTCCGGGCCGATTCCGGAGCTCGGGCCGGCACCCGGCCCGGCTCCCGGGCCGGACGCCCGGGTCGGCGCCCGAGCCGGCGCCCGGGCGCCAGAAAATCGAGTTCCGAGGCGGCGCCGAAAAAAGGCCATTCCAATCCACATTTTTCTTTCGAAAATGCTGAATTTCTGCTTCCGGCGCCCGGGAAGCCGTCCGGGCCGATTCCGGAGCTCGGGCCGGCACCCGGCCCGGCCGGCACCCGGCCCGGCTCCCGGGCCGGACGCCCGGGCAGTTCCGATCGCGCCGAAAAGAGGCCATTCCAATACACATTTTTCTTTCGAAAATGCTGAATTTCTGCTTGCGGCGCCCGGGAAGCCGTCCTGGGCCGATTCTGGAGCGGCTTTGGGCCGGACGCCCGAGCCGGCGCCCGTACGTGGTGCTTCTCTGCTTCTGGCGCCTGCGCAGCTTCCCGAGCCGCTTCTGGAACCATATCTGGGCCGGTCCAGCGATAGGTTTCCTGGATGTGCTGAGCCATCCAACTTTTTGAAACTTCTGCGTCTCAAGGATAGGGAGAGAAGACATTAAAGGAGGATCAAAAAGCAACGTCGCTATGAACGCTTGGCTGCCAGAAGCCAGTTCTACTTACTTGGACTACTACTACCGTTACCACTACTACTAGTGCTACAGCCGCAACAACAATATCATCAACTGCTGCTACTACAACTACTCATCCTTCCTCCCCCTCCTCCCCCTCCCTTCTCCTCCTCCCCCTCCCTATCTCTCTCATCTCCCCCTCCTCTTCCTCTTCCTCTCCCTCTGAGATGCGGGGCATGCGCAAGGCGATTGCGAAGGCGATGTGCCGTCCGAGCTATGGATGTTGAAGTTCCTCGGAAGAGGTGGTGGCCAAACCTTCTTGGGCGGGATATCGGGGTGAGGGAATATCGGATCCCGCATGCCAGAAAAATCCCCCATGATGGGGTGTGTTATCCAGATGGATGCATGTGTCATGTGGAAGCATGGCGCATGAGGGTAAAATGATTGTTGTTGTTGTTGTGCTTGTTGTTGTTGTTGTTGTTGTTGTTGCTGCTGCTGTTGTTGTTGTTGTTGGTGTTGGTGCTGTTGTCGTTGTTGTTGTTGTTGTTGTTGTTGTTGTTGTTGGTGTTGTTGTTGTTGTTGGTGTTGTTGTTGTCGTTAATATTGTTGTTTGTTGATGCTTTTGTTGCTGAGGTGTTTGCTGTTGTTGCTGTTATTGTTGGTGGTGTTGTTGTTGGTGGTGATGTTTACTCCCGATTTTTAAATAATAAGTCTACTTGATCCCTCTCTGGTAAGTAACCATTGTATCCGTTCAATTGAAGTGCCCCCTCGGGGCTCGAACCTTTTTTTTATAGGGGAAAGCTTGGTGCCACTAAACTGTGTTGCTCGGCCCCCAACTACAGCCACAACGGCTCCCGCCTGATACCACAATGTATTCCTAAGTCCCATTCTCGCGCGGGACTTCCTCACAATTCATGCAGGAATCGCGATCTCGCGTGGGATCCTGTCAATTTATTTAGGCGCCGCGCCCTCGACACTCAGGAGCCGCGCTCTAGCTGTGGATATCCGCACGATGTTTTTGATAATCGCTGTATCGCTCAAGACTTCCTCGCGAATCATGCAGGACGCACGCTTAAGCAACACACCTTCTCGACCCGGCCGCTTGGGCCCGACTTCCCGACCCGCCCGTTGGGGCCTACCGCCCGTGGGCCCGTCTGGTTCTGCCACGTGCTTTCTGGTCCTGGCCACCCCCCTGCGAAGCCCGTGCTCCGTCCTTCCCCCTCCCCCGTGCATCCGTCCTCTCTTCCCTTGGCTCGGGGGCTGCACCAAGTACGCGCGGCAGGTAGGGAAGATGTCGGGGGCTGGGGGGGGGGTGAACGGAAGCGACCCCAACCGGGAAATCGGTTTTGGTTTCGGTTCGTGTCCGTCTCCTGGACCTCCTGTTTCCTAAAGCGTTGCAGGTACGGTCAAAAAACAGAGGGGTGTCGCCTCCAGCCCTCTGTTTTTCAAACTGATGAGGTTGGAAAGAAAAACAAGTTTCGGTTCGTGTCGCGCGTGCGGGCGAGGCGAAGCTTCGCGAGTTCCCGCACTGGTAGGGGCCATCTGTTGCCAAGCTCTCCCCCCCGTCGGCCCGCCGTGGCTCCCGGGTTGTCTCGGATGGTTGTCTCGGATGGTTGTCCCGATGGTTGTCCCGATGGTTGCCCCAACGGTTGCCACTATGGTTGTCCACATGGTTGTCCACATGGTTGTCCACATGGTTGTCCCGATGGTTGCCACGATGGTGGTCCCGATGGTGGTCCCGATGGGTGTCCCGATGGTTGCCCCAATGGTTGCCCGAATGGTTGTCCACATGGTTGCCCACATGATTGTCCACATGGTTGTCCCGATGGTGGTCCCGATGGTTTGTCCCGATGGTTGCCACGATGGTTGTCCCGATGGTTGTCCCGATGGTGGTCCCGATGGTTGTCTCGATGGTCGTCCCGATGGTTGCCCCAATGGTAGTCCCGACGGTGGTCCCGACGGTTGCCCCGATGGTTGTCCCGATGGTTGCCCCGATGGTTGTCCCGATGGTTGTCGCGATGGTTGTCCCGATGGTTGTCTGGATCGCCCTTCGTGGCCCCCTTCCTGCCCTTCGTGACCCCGCTGTCGCTCTCGCTCTCGCTCTCGCTTTCGCTCGTTGTAATCGTCGTCGTCGTAGTCGTCGTCGTCGTCGTCGTAGTCGTCCTCGTCGTCGTCGTCGTCATCGTCGTCGTGGTCGGTCCCCTGGCTGTCCCTCTTGGGGTCGGGCTGCCGCCGATCAGCGCTGCCGCTGGCTAGACCGACGGTCCGCGGCCGCCCCGCCATTTGCCAGGGCCAGGCCGTCAGGGAACAAATCTATACCGCTCAAAAGAGGCACGATCGAAAACGAATAGGGCGGGCATCGAGGGTCCTCAACGGCTCCCGCCTGATACTTCCTCACAGTGCATTCCAAAATCGCACCCTCCTGTGGGATTGCCTCACAATGTATAAGCTCTCGCGTGGGACACCCTCGCAATTTATTCAGACGCTGCGCCCTCGACACTCAGGAGTCGCGCTCTCGTTTTGGATTTCCGCACGACGTATTTGGCAATCGCGTTATCACTCGAGACTTCCTCGCGGTTTTTGCAGGACGCATGCTTCAGCAACCCGCCTGCCTTTTGCCCCTTCCTTCCATCCATCATCTCTTCCCTGCTTTAGGGGCTGCACGAAACACATGTTGCAGGTAAGACAGATATACCCCTAAGGGGGTACGATCAGAAACGAAGAGGGCGGGTATCGAGGATTTGGCGTATTCGTGTCGAATGGCACGCGAGCAGATAAGAGTGAACAATATTAAATCGAATGTTGTTATTGTTGTTGTGGTTGTTATTGTTATGGTTGTTGTAGTTGTTGGTGTCGTTCTCCTGCATTTCTGAAGAATAATTATTGTTGATCCTCCCCCTTCTGGTAACTATGTTGCATTTTCCCATTCAACCGGAAGGCGTTGCGCCCCCCCCCCCCAGCACGCATGCCCATCATGGCCACCCCACCTCCTCTTCCTCTTCGTGTTCCTTCTTCCCTCCTTTTCCTGGCAATGTTCTCTTGCAGCTTCCTCCCGTATGATCAAAATGTCAGTTTCTCTTCATCTTTCATCTTGCCTCCTCCTTTCGTTCTCCCTCCTTCCGTCCTTCTTCATGCTTCCGCATTTCCCCTGCCTTCCTTCTTCCTCGTTCCTTGTCGTTCTGATGGGCGCCCCAACCTTCCCCCCAAACCTTCCAGACTCAGGAGAAACGCATCCAAAATGATGGAGATCGAAGCTTCGTTCTGGAGGTTTGGGAACGTCCAGTAGGACCCATCCTGGCCAGGCCAATTCCTGGGCCCAGGTTCGGTACATGTGACGGCCCGTCTCGGCCGCGAGAACATTTGAGTAGACCGGCCCCCGGCCCAGGATCCTCCAAACTGGGGACAGGGGTCCACACCGACTGGACCGCCCGATGACGTCGAAGTTTTGAAAATTTTCATTGACGGTCCGTCACCAGTCGGCTTGAGGACCGTGGGGAGGCCCCAACTCTCGAGACATCCTCTGAGATCGACCCAAGTCAAACAACAGTCCGCATGCCTCGAATCGCCTTTGACTCACCGGACCGTACCGGACCGTCTCGATATGATCGGTATAGGTGCTTAGTCGGCGCCCTCCCCAGATCTCCGACGTCGTACTGTTTTTCACCACGTGGACCCCCAGAGGTCCAAAACCCCTTCCCCGAATCGTTTGTATTCGTTTGTTGACAGCCCCAGGGCCCTTTGAGGGATCCTGGAGGCCGAAAGTGGTCAAACATCTTTCGCTGCGATTTCTGTAACGGCACGATGCGGTTTCGGTTCGACTGCCAAGAGTCGCCCCTTCGACCGATCCTTGGGTGGGTTCTGGCCCGCACTCCTGGGGTCCTGGGGACCCAGCCGTGGTGGTGAAGGTTCCTCTCGGGACTCACAAAGGGCGAAGAGCCCCCCGAGGCATCGAGTCTCGATCCTCCCTCCGCTTCCGATTTGGATCTGGGACTGCCGCGCACCTTTGGCCCTCGCCGTCGCCAGACCCCTCAGGGCGCACGTAAAGGGGTTCGGCGCGAGAGGAGCTCAGCCAGAACGCCGGATTCAGCAGGCTCCTGCAAGGCTGGAGTCTGGCCGAGCTGGGTCCGGGAGCCGCGTGCGGCCGTGGAGGCGGCCTCACGCGTTGGCCGGGCCAGGCTTGGCACGCCCCCCCCCAAAAAACAGCTGCAGCGCACTCCTCCCAGGTGGGCCGAGCTGGCTCTGCGCTGAGCCCGGCCGCGGTCCGGAGCTGCGGCTTGGCGTGTCCTTCCGCTGGTTCGAAGGATTGCAAAAAAACCCTTCGGTTTTTTTGCAATCCTTCGGTTTTTTTGCAATCCTTCGGTTTTTTTGCAATCCTTTGCAATCCTTCGGTTTTTTGGCAATCCTTCGCCCACTGCGCTCCGCTGCGACACGCTGTCCTCTTCCAGCCCCCCGCGGCGTCGACGTCCCGAGTTTCCCCGGGGCCTCCCGCCCCGATGGAGCGGAGCGGCACTCTGCCCGCCTGCAGAAGCTGCAGCGTGCCGCTGGGGCCGCCGCCGCGGCACGCTCCGCAGACGTGCTCGGCCCTCCTCGCCGTGGCCGCGGGCGCGAGGGGATCGGGCGAAGCGAAGCATGCACACGCACCGATGCTGGCAAGGCCCATCCTTGACCCAGGATCGGTGCATATGCCTTCCTGGCCAAGGCAGGAGGGCGCATGCACCGATCCTGGGCTCAGGGTGGGCCTGGCCAGCATCGGTGTATGTGCACAGTTCCTTTTCCTCTACAGAGGAGGGGAGCAGCCGTAGAAGGAGCAGCCATGGAGGGAACGCGGCAGGCTGCCCCCCTCTATGTTCAGGAGGGGAAACAAACACACAGACACAATGAATCGCCGATTCCCCAGAAAAGATCGTAAAATATGGGAATTGGGCGGGAGGACAAACACCCAGAACATATACGAAAAGATGGGGCATCTTTTTATTTGTGTGTATTCATGTGTGTGTGTGTGTGTGTGTGTGTGTGTGTGTGTGTGTGTGTGTGTGTGTGTGTGTGTGTGTGTGTGTGTCCTGGGGCCCCTTCCTATGTGGGCTCGGCAGCCACCGAGGCCCACGGCTGCTCCCCTCGCGCTCCCCACGCTCTCGGCTGGCCCGAGCCCCGAGGTCGCCGTGGCCGTGGGCGCGGCCCGCGCCGTGGGCGGCGCGGCCGACGGCGGGGGCCTCTATCCCGGGGGCTGGCGCCGCGGCTCCCGACGGCGCAAGCCTCCTCCTCCTCCTCCTCCTCCTCCTCCTCCTCCTCGCCCATTTTGGCTCAAGCGGTCGCACGGCGCCGTCGTTTCGCCGCCCCTTCGTTCCGCGTCGGGGCCGCTGCGGGATGGTGGCGCCTAGGGGGGCTGCCGACGCCGCTGTCCTCGTCGAGGCGGCGGTTCGGGCAGCCGTGCAGGGTCGCGCGCCGCGCCGCACGGTCGCGGCAGTGGCGCGGTCGGCACTTTCGGCAGCGCTCTTCGCGCTCCGAGAGGCGCCGCCCGCCGCCGCGCCGCCGCCCGCGGCTGCAGCCGCGGCCCCTGCAACGGAAGGCGCTGCCGCTCCCAAGGCCCACTCGGCGGCCTGGGTGGAGCGGCGGCGACGACGCCCCCAGCGCCTCGCGGCGCGGCGGCGGGACGGCGCTGACGCCGAAATTGCGCCTGCTGGCGAGCGCGCGGCCCTGGCCGCGCCTCCGCCGCAGGCTGCGGCCGATGCCGACGGCGACGACGTGATGGAGGACGACGGCTGGGCCGACGGCCTCGTGCGGGGAGGGGCGGCTGCCGCTGCTGCGCCGCCTGCCGCAGGCTCGGAGGCGGAGCTGTGCGACCTGGTCGCGCGCCTCTGCGCCCTGAAGTCCGTGGAGGACCCCATGCCCGCGTTCGTGACTGCCCTGAAGGCGCTCGGCGTGGACGAGCTGCGCAGGGAGGTTGCGGCTGCGTCGGCGTCGCGGGGGAGATCGCCGGCTGGACGCGGTCTTCCTGGCGCTCCTCAGCCCGGTGCGCGGCGGGGGAAGCAGCGGGAGGGTCGGCGATGATGCCTTGCCCCGCGTAGGGGCGAGGCCGCCTGCCCCTCCCCCCCGCCGTGACATGGAGTTCGCCTTCGGCGTGGTCCTCTTCGTGTTCTTCTGAGGCAAGCAGCAGGGGTCCGTGCTTGGACTCCTGTTCGACGTCGCTCCGCTCCGCTCCCCTCCTCCTCCTCGTCCTCCTCCTTCCTCCTCTCTCCTCTCTCCTCTCTCCTCCTCCTCCTCCTCCTCCTCTCCTCCTCCTCCTCCTCCTCCTCCTCCTCCTCCTCCTCCTCCCCCCTCCTCCCCCCCCCCCCTCCCTCCTCCTTCTCCCCCTCCTCCTGCTCTTCCTCCTCCTCTTCCTCCTCCTCCTCGTCCTCCTCCTCCTGCTGTTCCTCCTCCTCCTCCTCCTCCTCCTTCTCCTCCTCCTGTTGATCCTCCTCCTCCTCCTCCTCCTCCTCCTTCCCGTCATCATCATCATCATTATCATCATCATCATCACCATCATCACCAGCATCAGCATCAGCATCATCTTCATCATCATCATCATCATCATCATCATCATCATCATCATCATACGACTCGATGCCAGGGCCAGATGGGATTGTATACTCGTGCTGGAAGTCCCCTCTCCCGAATGCGATCCTGTATGACCTCTATTGCCACCTGTTTGACAATCGTGCCAGTGACATGCCTCAATCTATGCGGGAAATGCTCCTTGTCTTCTTAGCCAAGGGTGAGAATCCGACGGACCTCATGCCTGTCCCTCTCGTGCTCCTGACGCCTGCCGTCCTCTTGCTATGGCCAATACTGACTGTAAGATAATGTCTGTTGCGTTCGCCTCCCAACTGGAGAAGGAAGCCCGCGAAAGTGTTCACAAGGTGCAGGCCTGTATTCGAGGGCGTTCCATGACTGACCAGATTCTTGAAGCTGAGGTTTGGGGAGTTCAGCAGTGCATGTTGGGGAGGGACCTGTCTTGCATGTTTCTGACCGACTTTGCTGCTGCGTTTCCGAGCATTGTGATTTCCTGGCTTCTTCGGGTGCTGGTCCTGATGCAAGTTCATCCTGGAGTGGTGGGTTTCTTTGAGGCGCTGTATTCTGATAATATTGGGACCGTCTGCTTCGGAGGGAAGCGTCATAGGGCGATCAGACTGTTACGGGGTGTTCGCCAAGGGGACCCGTCCAGTATGCTGCTCTTCGCTCTCGCTCTCGATCCTTGCATACGTTGGCTCTGCAGTCGTCTCCCTCGGCAAATCCTGGCGTATGCTGATGACTTGTAGTTCGGGCTTCGTGATGTGAACGTGGAACTACCGATTCTTCTCCCGTTGCTTCAGCGTCTGCATCCTGGGATCGGGCTCGCACTGAACCTTAGGAAATGTGTCCTGATTCACTGTGGCCTGAGTCTCTCTCCGCGGACGACTCGGCTGATTCGCAGGTTACTCGCTAGTCTTGGGAATGGGGCCGATGCAATTTGCTTGGTTCGGCATGCTCGGTATCTGGGGATTCAGGTCGGTCCTGAAGGTTGGCGGCACGCCTGGAACACTGCCCTGCAGAAGTATCATCAGCGTTGCATTGATATTCGGAGGCTTCGGGTTGGGCTCGCTATGACCATTAGGACGTATGTGATCTTTGCCGTCTCGGTACTCAGGTTGGTGATGCAGTTCTATCCTCCATCGTCTGCTGTCTTGAAATGTGAAGGGAACATGCAACAGAAGCTTATGGCGGGTCCTCGGTTTGCCTTCAACAGACTGATGTGTACCAGGACGTGCGACCTCGGCCTATCGTTGGAGTTCCCTGATCTGGCGCAGATCGGCATTGCTACACAGGTTCGTCTTGCCCACAACAGTGCTACATTCCTGAAGATCCGTGGTCTGATTCTTGGTCTTTCCCAGGAAGACGAATTTCACCTTGCTCGGACGCGGCGCCCGCGGTGGCAGCACGCGTTCTGTCGGTCTCTCATTGGCACGTGGAATGGGCACATCCATCTGCGCACTGGCTTCCTTCAGGCTTCGGGGTTCCAAAAGAAGCTCACGCGAATCCTTCGGGCCCGTGCTCCTCCGATCTCTCCTATCCGCTGCCTCCACGCCCGGGTGGTCCGATGGTTCCTTGGGGTCTCTGTCGCCCAGGTCTCGGCTGCTGTTCAGGTTGTCCGCAAGGTATGCAAGGACAGTTCCCTCTACCTGGGGCTCGCTGTCTTACGTGTCCTGGCTAGGGGTGTCTGCACCAGTGCCAGATTTCATCGTGGGCCTGAAGGATGCTGCTGGAACTGTGGAGCCCCTGGGGCCAATGACTCACTGGACCACTATGCCGTATGTCCTGAATTTCGACGCCTGGGTTTAGCTCTCGCCCCCTGCCTCCAGCTTTTTTAGCGAAGAGTCCTGGTTCCGATGTCGAACTTTAATCGCCCCCCCCCCCCCCCCCCCCCGTTCTTTGAGCAGCGTTTAATGTGCGCGAGTCTTCTGGACGGATTCCTTTTCGTCCAAGCCAGTTTTCGCGAGGGGGCAAGGCAGCCGCCGAAGGATCTTCTCAAAGGCCGCATTCGCTTGCACACCCTGCGGCATCCGAAGGTTGCCCGTGCCTGGTCTGCGCCCTCCTCTTAGCTGTCTCATATAACTTTTGCCCCCCTGGGGCCAGCGGCTCACCGTCCCTCTCGGGGCCAGCGGAGTTTTATGCTCTACATGTACTCCTCTGCCGTCTCGGTGCTGATCTCTTCATCGTGCCCCTCTGGGGGCAGCGGACTTTGCATCGCTCTCTGCTGAAGCCCTTGTTGGGGTTCCCCGAAAGCCGCTCTCTGCGCTTCTCTCGGGGTCCTACGCTCGGCCTGAAGTTTCCCATTCAGTGCTTCTGACGACGTCCACTGGCTGTTACAAGTGGCAAGCCCTGCTTCAGCTGCATTGGCCGCCGATAACTCTTCTTTATTTTTGTTGCCGCCAGGTTCCCGATGAAGTACCGCAGGGCACCGCGTGCTCTCTTGAGAGAGATTTTGATTGGGCAGGGTCCGTTTTCCTTGATCGTCGCCTGGCCACGGGCTTAGCTTCTGATCGACCCTCCCCCTCTCTCAGGGCATGCACTCTGTGGGCTTTTAATTTATTGTGTTGCATTTGTTTTTATTTATGGGTTTTTATTTCTTACTGGGCCTAACTTTTTGCGAACGACCTTTAAGGCGCCCAACCTCTGAGTTGGTTCGGCTTCGAATGCACCCGTTGCCAGGACTGGACTCACTGCATCGATTGTCACCCCTCATTGCCATCGGTCCCGTTGAAAAATATCCCGGCAAAGCAACCCAACAGCGATGTGTAGGAGCATATCTGGAAGCATTCCCCCCAAGATCCACATGAAAATCCAGTTGTAGAATTCTGCTGTTCTCGCAGTCGTAGTCGCATTCGCGATGACAGTCGCAGTGGCAACGGCAGTCACAGTCACAGCCTCAGCCTCAGCCTGCCTCAGCCTCAGCCTCAGCCTGCCTCAGCCTCAGCCTGCCTCAGCCTCAGCCTCAGCCTGCTTCAGCCTCAGCCTCAGTCTGCCTTCAGCCTCGCCTCAGCCTCAGCCTGCAGCCTCAGCCTGCATCAGCCTCAGCCTCAGCCTCAGCCTGCCTCAGCATCAGCCTGCCTCAGCCTCAGCCTCAGCCTGCCTCAGCCTCAGCCTCAGCCTGCTTCAGCCTCAGCCTCAGTCTGCCTTCAGCCTCGGCCTCAGCCTCAGCCTGCCTCAGCCTCAGCCTGCCTCAGCCTCAGCATCAGCCTGCCTCAGCATTCAAAATGTGGCCCGGGAATGGAGTTCTGGGAACTCGAAGAACACGAAGTGGCCTACAGTTGGCTCCGGGCATTCAAAATCATGCCCAGGAATGGAGTTCTGGGAATTTGAAGACCACGAGGTGGCCTACAGTTGGCTCCGGGCATTCAGAATGTGGCCCGGGAGTGGAGTTCTGGGAAGTCGAAGTGGCCTAGAGTTGGCTCCGGGCATTCAAAATGTGGCCCGGGAATGGAGTTCTGGGAACTTGACGACCACGAGGTGGCCTACAGTTGGCTCCGGGCATTCAGAATGTGGCCCGGGAGTGGAGTTCTGGGAGGTCGAAGAACACGAAGTGTGTGACTGTTTGCGAAAAGCGCATTCGGACACGAGTTCGGGCACAGCTCCCCGGATGCCGCCCCGACCCCCCTGTGGAGTCATCTGCTGCTCTCTTTTGACCCCACTAGAAACCTATCAGCAAA